GCGGCAGGTTCCAGGGCGGAAGCTGGTGCTGCCTTTTGGCGGGGAGCTTCCTGGCCCGCGGAAAGAGCTCAGCTCCACCCGCGCCCTGGGGCTGGCGCCGGCGGAAGAGTCCCAAAGTGCAGGACTGCTTGTCCCCTCAGGTGGGCTGTGCACAGCACGACAGGAATCGCTTTGTGTACCGACCCGGGCGGCCTTCCCGCGCTAACCACGCCCCGCCCATCTCCCCTGCACCTGGTCCATGATAATAATAGTGATAATCCCTTCTACAGGAAATGACTCCAGGTGTGGTCATCTCAAAAAACAAGGCGAATCCCCCACCTTTGTAGGCTTTTCAGGGCCAAGGAACGCGGAAATTCTTATGGTTTAGCATATTCAGAATCAACCTCCCCAAATCCCTCAATTAACCTCCCAGGCCGAAGGGGCTGGGAACCTGCCTGTCCTGAGGCGCCCTAGCTCCTCGCTTGGCCTCTCTTTACTGTCCCCTCCCCCACATGCCATTTTTTTCTCCCTCCATTAACTGCCATCCCATTTTTTCTCCCTCCATTAACTGCTCTGGGCCGCAGAGCAAGAGAAAAGGACCTCTCGTTTGACCTTGAACTTACCTTACCGGGATCCTTTTGGGTCCTGTGTTCTAGGGGCTTTCAAACTTTGGACCAAGACCAAGAACAATAGGGGGTGATTTCTGACTGATAGAGCAGGAAATCAATATTAACCTCCCATGGAGGGCCTCTAGGTGTTTCAATCATTTCTTCTCTGGTTTTTTCTGTTCTTTGTTAATTTACACAACATTTATATAAGTATACTATATATAGTAGTTACATACATAAATACTTTAGATTTGTATATATATTGAAAAATGTTTCCCAAGCAATATTTGTCCTTCCATGCTATGCATTCTGTATTTTCTGTTCTATGGCATATCATTTTTTAAAACGCTGATTGAAAAATTACCAGATTGATTCTGTAAACCACCATGTTCTGTATCAATATCAAAAGCACGCTACTATTCCCACTCTCTCATTTCTTTCTATCCCTTTCCCAAATCTCTCAGTGTTCTGGGACGTCATTTTTATTTTTTTCCCCTCTTGCCTTACTCCACACCGCCTCTCTTGTCCGTCTCTGTATAGTTTTACCACACTTGCTCTGGAAGAAAATTTTCCCATGTTCTGTCTAAACATCAGATTCTCTTGTTCCAGATGAGGCCTGATTATGCAGATGCTGGACTTGATAACTATTGATAAACTGGCTTGTTTTAAGATAGGAGTGCAGATGAGTCAGTATTTCTGAATTTCCTGGAAGAGGAAAAGAGGCAGAGAGGCATCTAGGCAAATGTTAAGGAACTAAGCCAACGTGCCTCTAAAAACCGTGAAAGGCATTACATTGAGTGAATGATATAGATAAGGATTTCCTTGGTTCTAGAAGGGAATAAAAGCCATCAAACCTACCACATAGAAACAAAACAAAACAAAAAAAATTTAAAAACCGCCACATAGATCCGTTAAAAAAAAAAAAAATCCCTGACTATGTTTAAACTTTCACACACTTTTGACTCTCAGATTCTAACAGGACAGCAAATCATTTGTTTAGCAGCACAGTGGGATCAGAATTCAGACTTTACAGAATAGGTAGGGCTAGATGTACGTGACAGATTCTTCAATTTATTCATCCTGTGGTTCCTACAACAGTGTGTATCCCATATCCTTATTCTTTTAATCAAAACTAAAAAGCCAAAAGGACAAGGGACAAGGCACAAGTACTAAATGGAAGAGTCGAGCTCAGCCTCTCTCAACTTCATGCCCTAAATATTTACTCCGAACTCTCATGGGTCTATTTTCTCTTTTTTTTTTTTTTTTAAGAATTACTCCCTTTTGCTTGCCTTTTCTAACCCCTTCAAGTCCCATCTACAGTTTGAAAACTCTGATTTCATTTGTCATACTATCTTTGAGACAATGTTGGATATTTCAATGGGGCATTTGAGGCCCAGTGAGCATAAGTAACATACATGTCTGAGACCAGCAAGCTTACTATGTTAGAACCAGGACTAGGTGAATTCTAGTAGTTTCCTCACAAGAAACCTAGTGCCCTTTTACAACTGCGTAAGGGAAGCTCCTTTGCAAAATAGGGAAAATGTCATTGACGTGCATGGGTTAATGTGAGATTTCAATGATGTAATGCCTGTGTAAGCACTGTACAAACAGCACTGTTAACCATGAAAGGCAAGATGCAGTCTTGCTGTCATGTCTGTTTCCACCAAAGAAATCCAGATGTGAAGACCAAGGTCCTTTATGCAAATGATTTAAACAGCTTGAGTCATCTAAAGCTCACTGGGATGATTTCTGACCGATAGAGCAGGAAATCAATGTTAACTTCCCATGTAGAATCTCTAGGTGCTTGTGGAGCTATGGCTGGGTCTGGAGTTCACAGACCCCTCAAGTCCGTTGTCCATACTGGGTCACAAACCCTTCACACACAGGTCTATGAGCTAGGTAACCAGCCAAAAGGTCCTTGGAGCTGTAGGTTCAAGAGCATGGCCGTGTGGGGCAGACATCTGAGGCAGTAAATGCCAGCCAAGTGGTG